TGCTGGTCTCACGATCTCGATCTTCCTCGTTACTCTCGAATCGACCGTCATCAGCACTGCCATTGTGGACATCACCGACGAACTGGGTGGCTATGAGAAGAGCTCATGGCTTTTCACGGCATATATGTTGACCTACTGCAGTAAGCATTTCCTTACCCTCACAGACTGACCACTTCGCTAATCCTGTCCAAGGTCTCCAGATGATCTGGGCAAAGCTCTCGGACATTGCAGGACGGAAATACACCCTCGTCGCTTCGCTACTCATCTTCACTATCTTCTCGGCGCTTTGCGGAGCCAGTCAGACACTCATCCAGCTCATCATGTTCCGATGGTGTCAGGGTATCGGCGGCTGCGGTGTGTACGCACTCACTCAACTCATGTTCATGGAAATTGCTCCGCCGGGAAAATTGCCAAAGTATATGGCGGGTGTTAGCATGGTGCTCGCGCTCAGTCTGATTACGGGGCCGCTTCTTGGTGGCGGAATCACGCTACATGGTAGCTGGCGCTGGATCTTCCTTTTGAAGTATGTACACGTCATTGAAGAACCTTCGTCAACGTACTAACATTGGTATAGCGTTCCTGTCGGAGTTCTTACTGCTATATCACTTTGCTTCACACTTCCGCGAACGCTGTTCAACGAGCCAGCTGCGCAGCAGACACACCCGATCTTCTCGAAACATTCCCTCAGTCGACTTGACTTCCTTGGAGCGACGTTGATGCTCGGCACTCTCGTGTTACTCGCTACAGGTCTCCAACAAGCGTCGCTGGACTATGCATGGTCTTCCAACAAAGTCCTTCCTCTACTCGTCGTTTCCGCGCCTTTCGCCGTCGCGTTCTTCACATGGCAATGGTACATAACACAGCGTCGCACCAACCCTGAGCCCGTCTTTCCGTGGCGCTTCTGTCAGAGCCGCATACAGCTCGGCATGATCATGTGAGTCCACAATTTTGTATCCTCATCATGCATCATACTGATACAGACATCCAGCAATACCTATCTCTCCGGCACAGTAATGTTCGTATGCATTGCGCAAATCCCCCAACGCTTTATCACGGTGAACGGCCTCTCTCCTCTCGCCGCCGCCGCCCGGCTCCTCACATACGGAGCTTTCGTGCCCTTTGGCAGTGGTATCGCTGGTGCGATGATGGGCAAACCCAGGATACCGCCATGCTGGATCATTCTCGGTGGCTCCCTGATGGAGATTCTCGGTATTGCGTTGCTGTCGCAGATCGATACTTCATCGCATATCGATGCTAGTCAGTATGCGTTCCAGATCATTGCCGGAACGGGAACTGGTCTTGTCAACTCGGGACTCATCCTACTTGTGCCGTACGCGATGGATAAGAGGGATTTGGGTAAGTTATTTACTAAATTCACACACGATTGTGTTCAGGGTTTCTGTTCACTAACGACCACCAGCCGTTGGCTCAGCAGCTACATCGCAGTTTCGCACACTGGGCGGTCTAGTCGGTATCGCCATCGTTACATCTATCTCCACACCCTACATTCGCTCCCATCTGACCGACATCCTACCCTTGGAGCTTGCCGAGAGCCTGCTAGAAAGGACGGAGTTAGTGCAGACTCTTTCACCGGAAACGTTGGAGCGTGTGAGGCAGGTATTTGGTGAGGCGTATAACCTGCAGGTCAAGGTACTCATCGGGTTTGCGGTCGCCAAGGTACCTGTCACGGGTATGATGTGGACAAACTTGAGGGTGGAGAGTAAGTGAGCGGGTGAAGATCGACACAGAGCTTTAGTGATGATGATTCCATATGACGAATACATCAAAGTGTACTTTGTTGTATCCCAACGTCTAAGAAGACCCCGAAGGTACTCAGTAGCTTCGGATAGATAGACCATTGTGGGCAAGACATCACAGCCATTCACTACGTGCGCGCTCTCCCCAAAGTAATTCCAGATATCATCGGAGGCACTCTATCACTCATAAACCTCTGATCGCTTCGCAAAGACTGCCTTGGCTACGCGCAAATGCTGGCCTTCTCTTTCCATCATCTCAGTAGAAAGTGTTAGCTCGTGTCTGAGCCATCCTCATCTGCCTCAAAGGCCTCATCGTCATCCTCTTCCTCCTCGTCGAAGTCCATATCCTCATCGCTGTCCAAGAAATCGTCGTTGGACATTGTGAACGCATCATTCCTAGCCTCTGTCTCCTCAGCCTTCATCCTCTCCAGCTCAATCTCGTGCGCCTGTCTCATTCGCGCATGCTCGTGTTCCTGGCGGGCGACGCGTCGCGCCACAACGGCCATGATCGCATCTTCACCGTATTGCGGTCCCAAGGTGCGCAGGATGTTGTTGATGTCTTGCTGTGTGATAGGGTCGCCAGTAGGTTCGAAGAGTAGGCGCTTGCATGTTGGACATGTGTTACCGACTTCTAGCCAGGCGTCTAGACATTGTTGACCGATGATGTGGCCGCAGGCGGCGATTCGCACAGCACGGTGAAGCTTGGAGTCCGCGGATTTACTCCTCGTAGGATGGAGGGCGAGAGGATGGCGGCAGATGTAGCAGTCTTGCGACGCATGCGCGTGCGACTGTTGGACCTGCTCGAGGCCCAGGCTGTTGAAGGTTTCCTTGTTTGCGAAGACTGTCATTTTGGATTTGATAAAGCTGAAGCAGTCGCGAGCGTAGTATGGCAGGCTTCAGTGTAGAGGTGAGGGTGGTATTTGTGAAGGCGCGAGTGATTGCCGTCGCGGGTCACACTTTCTCGAAGCGGGCAATCGAGGTGAAGTAGCGCACGGCCACTGTATTCTATTCTGATGAGTGCTAAGATCTGAAAAGTCGAGGGGGTATCCGCGTGAGACTGCCCATATCTTGGAGTAGAGGAAGCGGTATATGTATCGCATGTATTTAGTTAGTGGATCGCACCTCTCTACCACGGATCACGATAGCCCTTCCAGGTGAAGGTAATCATGGTTGACATCCAGCAACCAATGCAATGTCGTCAATTGTCCAAAGATAAAGCCGATGCTCCGCCGTTCCCATGCTAGCATACATCGATGAAAACACGTCCAGCATCTCCAGTATGGATCCCAGGGTTGAGATACAGCATGTACAGATCTGAGCATCTTGATACTTACAGCGGGTCTCAGTCTCTGCTGATCTACACTGTAGTGATTTTGTACATGACCCGACACTGATCTTCGCAATGTTGTAGTTTCCCTAGGGTGGACGGCATAACTGCACAGGCACAGAATGCAGTAGAAGCCTACCTACCTAAGTAGCATCGCGCGTGATTCATGCGCCAGCTAGGACACTAGCATGCGTGCAGCAAGCAGAGTGTGCAGTCAAAGGTCGCCCTCTAAGCATGCACGATAAAGCAACGCGTTGCGACGGTGAAGGCTGGGGCGAGAGCGAGGCCACAACGTCGTGCTCTTGGTTGCACCTCATCCAAGAAAAAGCCCAAACACCGTAGAGCCTACGTTAAGATTAGGTCGCCTACTTTGCAACTTTTGATGTTAATGTAGGCTGCAGACTTGTTCAGTTTTTTTCGTGTATGAGATAGTTGGAGCTCCTTGGGTGATGATGGGGTGATTTCATGCCCCGCCCAGGCCCCGGCCTGCTGAGCCCGCTACCGGTATGTAGTACCCGTGCACACCGAAAGAGCTGCCCCCGGCCAACGTCTAAAGCGGCGAGCATCACATCTGATATCGCCGACGCGGCAGATCCGAGCAAGAGGGATGCGACACGGATCGATCGAAGCCTCTACTACGCTAGCTACACAACCGCATGCGCCATGGCAGTACATTACATACATAAGCACGATTATGGGACGTGTAGAAAGTCCCCAAGTTTCCAACACCGATCACTTGTACCTATCTCAGCATGGACAAATTACCTATACCTGTTTCTGAGTTACTCGCTGCTATCGAGATCGAAGAGTCTCGTCGGGCGCGCTTGAGCTCTGCCAACGCGAACAAGCCGAGCAAAGGGCAGAGACCAGCAAGGACTCAACGTTCCAGAGGCTCTACCAACAAGAACAAGCCGAGCAAAGGGCAGATACCAGCATGGCCCCGACGTTCCAGAGGCTCTACCCATGAGAATGGTCGGCATCATGGGTCGGGCCTCGTTGCAAGCCCTATTACCGACTTCACTCCGTTCTTTCCTCCTTCCAGCCCTGACGACAAGCTACGTACGGCAAAAGCTTTCAACGATCTTCGCGATGCTGTACGATCTGTTATAGATTCGGCCTTCGACAGGGAAGCGGAACGCTCCAGCTCCACCAATCGAAACAGGCCGATGACGCGTCGGGAGAGTCGGGAGCACATCATCTCTGAAAACCTTCTGGCAAAATGCCCATTTATCTATGACGAAAGACCCAGTCATCCCACCGGCCCGCGCCCTTTCGCTCCAAACCGCAGACCCTCGCCCTCCGAGAACTCGGCCGTTAGAGACTGGAGACGGCAGGCCGAACACCAAGTGAAAACGCGTATAGCCGACTTCGCCTGTCACGATGCACGTTCGCCATATGGATTATATGCGATCGTCAATCTTGTTTCACTGGTACAAGTAATGGCTTGGTTTTGCAACATTGCTTCTCGGGTAACCGGTTTCTCCTACCTCGTATCAATGCTCCTCCGAAGCTTCCACAAGGACGGTATCCGCTCAGAACATCAGATGCTTCAAATTGCCGAGCTACGTAATGCTGTCCTAAAGCTTGCGGAACCTCACGCGCAGATTCAAGCATTGCGTGTTTCGAGAAGCTGGCACGATTCGGCACTTCTCGCAATTCGCGACTTTGCCGCATCATCTAGCACTCCCTCTTGCGAACCCATTGAATACAATCAGCAAGTCGACGAACGAGTTGCTGTACCTATGCAACCTAGTCCGGAAGAGCTGGTACAATTTGAGCGACATTTACGGTGCAATCCAGCGAGAGCCCAATTGGGATACCATCCAGCGAAGTTTGTTTTTGCAAAAGATCTACATCCTTTTCTACGCCGACTGCTCATCCCTTACGAAAATTATCTCTTACCCACAGTTTCATCCATGTTCTACTACGATCCTCTTTACAACAGCACCCGGACAGACCGCTGGCACGATCTGAGTCAATTGTCGATCAGCCCTTACCTCGAAGCGCTTCTCACAGCCGACGACCAGATTAAACACCGCCTAGGTCGATGGGAGATTACCCTGCGGCCTTCATCATCCCTGAAAACACTTGTATTCAACGACGATTTTGCTACCAAAGTAGTACTAAACAACATCGGATCTTTGCAGGTTACGAATCCGCCTTGCCGCGCTTTGGGCCTGTATCACGACGACCCTGGAGGCAGTGTAGCCGAGAGCACCAGACTCTTAGTCAGAGTGAAGAACGACAATGGCGTAAGCATTGCTGAGTTTGCGCATGCGCTACAATACGCTGCTCCTACCACTCACGAAGCTTGGATGGCGAATGCCAATCATCTTGTCAACAAAATCAGGCGCTCACCCCGTAGCCATGACATCTGGCACATACCTGGTGCACCTACGATACGAGTCCACTTGGACAATGTCAGCATGCCAGAGAGCGGTGATCCAGTATCATATGGGCTTCACCCCAACCGCTATGCTCAGATGAAAGCTGAGCCTGATAGGCGATCAAGAGAAATGGCGTGGATATCGGAAGATCTTCTCGAACCGACCGGGGCTATCGTCGATCGAGATCCCATCGATTGGGACGAATGGGGTGATGTTCTCAAGTTGATGGAATGACGGGTGTTGTGGTCAGTACATAGTGGGAGTGGCTGTGAGGTTGGGCTGTATCTGAGCGCTCAACTTGGGCGCATTGCGCTCGGGCTTTTCTTTACGACAGAATAGTATCCTGTGTGTACCTACTGCTTTTCTGTTAATCTGTGTACAGCGATAGTATGCCCCAGGATACACCCGCCCCATTTGCCTGCATCGAGCACGTGTTCATTGACACTCCAGCACTAGTCCATGTAAACTCAGGCGAGACCCATCGCCCATCTGCTACCATGGACACCGGTGGCTGTCGCCAGTGCAGGCATTGGATGGAACCTCATATTCTGTCCCCCATCCCCAATCCGCTTATGATGGCACCAGTCGTGCTATGTGTTTCCCATGTGGACATGTATAGTCTCCACTATGCGACGCATCCATGTTTGATGGTGGTGTGATCTGACGAAGCAATGTGACAGGGCGTCAGGGCGACAGAAGCGCGGTACGAGAGTGTGAGAGCACAAGAATTGATGCGGGGACTATCTCGGTTGCGTGAAAATAGGGCGAAGCAGCGCGGCGATACTGTGGCGTTCAGTCGCAGGGGGTGGTGTCTTGGAACGAAGGGCGAGAGCCGTAACGAATGACCGTTGATCTACCTAGGTATCTTTTCAACCAAGCTACTGCCAGCAGGGTTGTTATGGTGTGTAATATGGGCGACCGTGCAATGAGTGAGGTCGCGAGCATGCGCGGTCTGTTGCTCCTTTGGCTACGCAGAAGTGGGAAGATACTCCTGTTGGCGGGAGCGGGCTTGACGCATGCGCGGTGGAGGACCCATTGCGCCATGCGCATCGCTCAGTGCATGAGACAGCACTAGCCAAGTATCGCATGGAATCGTAGACACCAACGTTGTCGTTTTCGAGCAGGACAGTTGTCAGTTATGATGCCGCAGCCTCTGGTAGGCTGGGTTGTAGGCGTAGACGCGTGGACGCGACGGGGATCGAGGAGGCTTCGTGTTTGTGTGTCAGACAGGCTTGGCGGACAGACGATGAAGTAGCATCGCCATAGCGGAGCGATGTCTGTGCTATGTAGACGTCAGCAGCTGTGGATTCTTTGCGCTGAAGGGGAGGAGCAGGAGGATTGCTAAGACCGGCAAAGCATGCCAGATCGCGCGCGCAAGCCGTAATGTAGATGCCAAACAAACAACTGATCTAGTGCGTCGCCATGTCAGAAATGCAACGCCGCTGTTGACTGTGAGGTTGGGCAAGTGGGGTGTGCTTGTGCCGACGCGCGCCCACCTTCACGGGCATCAGACGGAGGGGCTTTGGGACCTTTCCGGTGGCCCAGTAACGATTGCCATGATGACGCGTGCGACCTTGGACTCTCGCCGACATCAGCCCTGGAGGATACGGTACCGTAGTGGGGCTCCCTTAGCGTCTCAAGTACCCTTCCAGCTGGGCACCTCGGGCACCCGGGCTGATCATCGTTAAGGTCCGCATATGCTAAGAAACATTACGTTGTTTCCTCATGGTAAGGTCCCGAGGTCTGTTGCTTCCCCACGGCCCCCGGGGCACCCGGTAGGCTATAAGAGCGCTACTAGAGATGGCCTCACGGGTAAACTCAACTTCTAGAATTCCTAGTATCAGCTACAGAAGCAGACCTCGTCTCACCAGCAACATGACATCGGAAGACATCTCCACCATCACCGCAGAGCCTCTTGGAGACAGTAACGATCAGCCGAGACCTGATGATTATATGGTTCCTCAAACTCCATTTCTTTTGTCGCTGTATCCAACGACCGGCAGCCACCCAGAGTATTTACCTCCCGATCCCCGCGCATGGCGACGCGAAATCATGGTGCAAATTAAGGACTGCTACAACGTGCCTCCCAAAGTACCACCTCCTTATTCTGAGATGGAGCGGTCGGCCTTAGAGCGGTGGAGGATGCAAGTCAGCGAGCTAGTCGAGAAGCGCATAGCCACCTACAACGATCATGGGCCGAGCGAACTACCTGCTGCAAACGAGGTACACCTACGCTTGTCTGAGTCGCCCTTCTGCTCAGCACAGAACGCGTTCGATATCCCCGAGATACACGATATGATACTCGACTTCGCAGGGCCTGAAGTACAAGTACGTGCATTGTGGGTCTCCAAGTATTGGCGTGCTTCCGCACTTCGGTTTATAACTAGCCGCGCGAACCAAACCGCTAGCGCTTTTATGGTGCCGGGCACACCTGTGGAATACATCCAGATATCACCCGATTACGACGGTGACCTACACTACTCTGATGAACAAGTACGACTTGCTTCGGAAATTCGGAACGTAAGAAAGACAGCTGGCTATATATCTTTTCCACGCCATTACGAACGCATACAGGATCTAATCGCGCAGTGGCGTGGTTCGCCGGATACCACACCACGGAGCAATGGAATCATACACGCGCTTCGACCCTATATCCACTATACAAACGTCTGCCTGGATCTCAGTCGGCTTCAGATCAATCCATATCTCGATATGTTGTTTTCTGAAGAGCATCGCATTACGCATCGTCTGGGCCGATGGGAAATCAGTCTACGTGCTATGGCTTCTCTCGATACGCTCTTACTCGCCGAATCGGCTCCTCAGAGGCTTCTGATTAAGGCCATTGGTTTGATGCAAATCACCAACCCACCGTGTCAATGTTTGGGTTTATACTATGCTAAGAATCGCGCTCGTGGAGTGCTAACGCCAAATGTTCTCCTGAAGAGGCTTCGTAGAGACGACGGCATACGAGTCATCGACCTTTTGGTTGCTCTGAAATCTACTGCACCTGCCCTGTTGTCAAGGTGGACAAAGAACGCAGAAAGGCTTCGCGATATTGTGAAGCGGGCACATTGGTTGGATGATATCTGGAAGGTACCCGGCGCCCCAACTGTTCGCATTCACTTAGATAATAGACTCATGGCCGACAAACCATCAATTTCAAGATTCGATGGACCTGCCTCAGCTTTTGTCGCTGCCGAGGAAGTTATGGGCTGTCAAGAAGATCTTTTCCGCTCGGCGTATATGTTTGCCGAGCCATCAAGGGCTACTCGAGAAGGCGTGTGGATTCCGGAAGAACTGTTTGAGCCGATGAAAAGTCAGACAGGACGTCACCCCATCAATTGGACAAAGACTTGAGCACGTCACGGAGGAAGCGGCTGTACGCAAACATCAAGTGTAAGCTTCGCTCAGTGGGGAAATATATGAGGCAAAGATAAGCTATCGTCGCGATCGCTGAAGCGGGTTCTTGTTGTTGGTGTCAACGAGCATGGTGTGTATTGAAGCAGGCGTGTAGCGCAGCCGTATTGGACTCTTCGTATGGCGCACTGACATGTATGCTTGAATGGGTCGGGTATTTCGGAAGCGTATGTATTGCTCTTGCGAGTGCAGCAATGAAACTCATTCTTATTTCAGAATTATGAATGCTGTCGGCTTTGACAAACTAACACGTGAACTCTGCAAAGACGAACAAGTTAGATAGAGGTGGACGTACATGCCAAAGTGTCCACGGACGTGGGGCAACGACCGCCTGCCTTAGTATAAAGTTACACCACACGCATATTGGCCGAAATCACGTCCTAGTCTCATATTGTTTTTGGAAGCGTTCAGCAAATTACCGGTTCAGTGTATGCGTGAATGTAAATCTATGTATGGCGAAGTTCTTCATCAAAGTGATGACTAAGCGCACACAAGCTCCATATAGCGCGGCGCGAATCTCACGCGTAAGCAATGCGTCAAAAGCCAGCTTCACCGCACCCTCACCACGGGCACCAACTCTCAACGATCCCCAGAAACACTGTCGCCTCAACCAGCGCACACCGAAACATGACGAGTGGAATCATCAAGTCCTCCAGATTTCACGAGGTGGCTTTGGGAGCCCGATAAACGGTCTAGCAGCCTCTGCGTGCGCACGATGTCGAGGTTGTAGGAGCAACGAAGCAAAGTCACGAGCTTGGGACGACTGTGGATGAAAAACTCTGATTGAATTTGCGCCGTACTCCACATAAGATACAGTAGCGAGCGATAATAGAAAGATAGCAGGAAACGAACCCAAGCCAATGCTCCGAAATCCTCCAAAACAAGCGAACGACCGCCTTCCCCTCGTCCTCTCCCGATACCAACCTGCGTATATCCCGAAGATCAGGCTGCGGCTTCGGTCGTGCTGTTGGCACGTTTGGCCGGGGATTGGGAGTCCTGAGTGTCTTTCGCATCGTCCTGCCTCCGCTTGGGTGGGGAGAAAGCAATCCTGCGGACGGAAGTATTGGTTCTTACCAATGGGACTGGGTCCTTTAGGAGATAAATCGCCTTGAGGACCAATCTTGGTCTCATGCATTTGGCCTTGTTGGTCATGCTGCGCACTCCTTGCGTGAAGGCCACGCCAAACTGAAAAGCTGCGATGCTTCCCGTAGCCAACAAGGACCACAAGATCATAGGGAATGAATTCGCCCACTCTATCGCGTTGAAGTTAGGGCCGGCATTGGGGATTGACGCGCCGCGAAGGTCATGGACATATAAAAATCCTTTCTCCCTGATGCTGTGAGCAGAGAAACACTGGTACGTTGTAAAGGAACTCACATCTGCTCATTGACGGCATCTCGGATGTCCACCTCAGGCGTTCCAGCGGGAGCAGTTGCCCGTATGCTCTCTTCCAAGCCAGTCCGAACGTCCGCCCTGGGCACCTCGAAACGAATCCCTAGCTGTCTTTGGAGGTGGTCACACCTGGACATCGTCAGCGCAAACTCACTGCAAATCCGAGGCGAAGGGTATCTTACAATAACTGCAAGTTGGTATCCGGTACTATATATAACCGTTGACAGATCTCGACCAGGGCTCGCAAGGCTGACAGGAAATCAGCTGCTCCAGCAATTGTCGCGTCCTGCGGATTCCGGGCCGTAAGGTTGTAAGTGTTGGACTGCGCTGGAGGTTCGGGTGAGAGAAATACAGCGTGCTGTATTTCGGCGACGACGGTAAATATCTGGTTGCGAAGAAAGCCACATTAGTATCTGATCAAGACATTGTCCTTGAGAAGGTCTTACCGTATCATCATCGGGGGCAGAGCTGTTTCGCACAACCGACTGGCCAGGGTTTGCGACCAGTGGACGGCCACTGTCGTTGACCTGTGTAGGGTGTGAAACTTGCCTCACCCACCATTGTATGAATCTTGTTCTTGTCAGAACGTATCGTCGGAACAAACGCGCTGTGGTCACTCACGCAATGAGATTGGGGTCCGAGGCTGCTGCCATGATGTTTGAAGTGCGGGAGGTACCGCAACAGATACGGCTTGGGTGAGCGGAAGAGATATAATGAGTTATACGAACCGTTCGTCGTAGGGAAGTAAAGAAGACAGGCACAAGAGAAGGAGCAAAAGCTGAGGTGTATCGAGATAGAGAAGAAGTTCTGGCTTGAGAAGGGGAATCTTGCACCTTTATATATGTACAGCTTCGTGAGTCTTTACGCCTCTACACAGTCTCTTTCACATGACGACCACACGATACCACCGCATTATCGCGATCGCTCTGTGATTACGACGACCGTCTTCGATACTAAACCCGATCAACACTCTTCCTTTCGTCCATCTCACCACTTCCTATCATCGGTGCCCAACTGGACGACCCGGAAACCCACTGGTCCGCCATTCTCATGACATGGTGTGTCACGCCAATGCGAGCTATGTCGATCGGCAGTCTTACTGGAGATACCGAGAAGTAGTCGGTGGGGTCTGAGCTTACTGTGATCGTTTGATATCGTCACAGCTGAGAGCTAATCCGCCTTCAATCAGTAAGGCTGTTGGAAAGCACATGATGGAGATGTAGGATCACGCATCACCCCAGGCCTATCGAAACTCAAGATCGTCGCTTGTCCTCCAAGTTGAACATGATATCGGGTAGGATTTCATTGCAGCTTACGCGTCTTACTGAACTTGTTACCGAGCCAAACTCTAGACATCCTCTCGGCAGGTGGGGTCAGCACGATGAGTTCATGGGAGAGGTAACGGCATGTGCTGACGGTGTTGAGTCCGACCCCACAAGCTTTTTTGTCGTTGTTCTAAACGCCCTGACCTGTGGTAGGAAGCAACACCAGAAATGTATTTTCCACCTGGAGGAATTGAATGGTGTGTACCTCCTATTCTCGCTCTACCTATGTTCTCACAAACTTGCGCACGCACCAGAACGGAACTTTGCCTATCCTCGAGCTCGGACCGAGCTACCGATTGTGAGGTACCCTACGAGCAGGGCACCCGATGTCGTTATCGCCCTGCTGCACTCGGTACCAACTGCCGGACGGTTCGCGCGACGTCGATCGCTTCTGGTGTGGACATGCGGCACTAAATTAGCACGAGCTCCATGTGAGGCTCGCAGAGTCTCACCCACACTCGGCCCGCTTCTAACATACGGACTTCCTGGACCCCAGTCTACCTTCACATGATCCAATCTGTAACTTTGCGACTCCGCACGAGCCGGTCCCCTCCGCCATTTCGCCCTGGCTCTTGCGTCAAGATGTACCTTGTTGTGCACTGCTCTCTACATCTCGCCATAGTCAAGGTCTTGCTCTCAAGAAAACGGGGATGTAAACAAGATTCACAATGGACATTCAATACTCCATCTCCGTGTTCGAAAGCGCAAATACAGCGGGAGGTCCTGCTCTTCCAGCATCTGATTTCGGACTTACACCTCCGGGATATCGCCTTCGATCCCTAGAGACCTTGTCGCCGTGAGCTCGGATCTTCGGAGTACAGAGGCCTTGTCGTCGGAACCTGATGGTGGTGGCAACGACGTTTCTCTTTCTGTCTATACTGAAGCCATTCGGCGCTTCCGGCACTTTTGCGGCCTCGCGGGGTCGCGGCGGGGTAGCTGTAAACTCGAAACTGCCCAGGTGCCCAACCTCTAGCGCATTCGCCACGCACTTCGAAGTTCGCCCAACACCGACTTGTCAAGACAGCGCTACATGTTGCTGCTTTTACAGTTCGGCGAAGTCGGAGCTACCACTGATACGTACTGCGCCAAGAATTCACAATGCCCTTAATTCACCCCATTAGGAAACTACCGGATTGGTTGACTGCCCAGGTCTCACGAGGAACGCGAAGGGATGAATGGTAGGCGGCGAGCATCGGGCGACTGCACGGAGGTTCGATGCAGTTGTTGCAAACATCGCATCGCATACGTTAGAATCCACACATTGTTATCATATCATTTGAATCACTTCTACTGATGACCATCTTTGTTCATGAATCCAAGATGAAGGCATCCCAAAAGTTGCACATGCTCATTCTGGGCTTAGCCTTCATTGACTTGAGCTCATTCCTTCCATTATGCTGTTTGACCCTGAGCTGTATCCTGATCCTCAGGCTCATGCACAATGTGAAGGTACTCACGGCAACCATTCGAGCCAGATACATCTGGTGGAAGAATACCTACAGCCGCTTCTGGGGGAAGCAGTACCGGCAAGGCGATCTTCTGCGCCACAAGCTGCCTTCCAACTCATATTCTCGGTCTATGACTAGGCGGCTCAGGGCCTGGTACATGATGGCATACAATTTCAACATCATGACCGCCGAACTCAAGCGCACGCTGCCTTCCAAGAGCCTTCTTCTATCTTCTGTTCTTGAAGAGGCCCACAGAACCGTACTCAAGGACCCTAGAGCTTATGCGGCGAATATGGAGAAACTAGCGCGTTGGGTAGACCTGAGTGAGGACGACGAGTCCTGGCTATATTACTTGGCCTGCTGTGCATCTAACGACATCACACTTCTTCCAGATTGGTGTTCCATCCGCGAAGACTCTGACATGAAGGGCGAAGACTTCGACGTAACCGACGAACCGCCCTGGCAAAGCGCTCCTCACCACGACGAAGATCTTTGTGGTTCTTACGACGAAAGCACTGGATTCTTATGGGTTGACATCAATGATTCCTCTCATGAGGGTACGAGTTCGTCCGACAGCAACCCTGTGCATGAGATTAGTAACGCGAACGAGCCCGCCAATCAGGTCGATGGTTTGGTATCGTCACGTGCGCCGCCATGCGAGGACAAGCCGATTGTGGATTTGACTGGGACGGCTGGGCCAAGTATTTCTGTCTCTCAACATGAGTGTATAAGCTCTTCCGAATGCGGTGTTGCGCATAAGTCCACTGATCTGAACCATGGTTTGGAACGATCGTGTGCGCCACCAAGCGAGGAGCAGCCGGTTGTGCGTTCGACTGAGACTACTGGACTAGGCCTTAGCCGAAACAGTTGGGTCGTGGACTGTGGTACTGAAATGCACATCACGAACAACAAAGCGTGGTTGCACGATTTCATCCCATGTGCCGCCGAAGCGGCTACCATTGATAGCGAGTCCTTGACCCCGTTGGTCATCAAGGGCCGGGGCAGCGTACGCCTCTTGTTCTCCAATGAAGATGGTGTCCAAACAGAACTGAGGCTTCAGGATGTTGCATACGCACCAGGGGCATGGTATAACCTCATTCATCCGTTTGAGTTATATACGTATGATGGCTACCATGGGGCATGGGGCGAGTGCATCACTATTCATGATCGTGATGGAACTCATATCACTACTGGCGTTCCGATTAACGGGAAGAAATGGCTTCTGAAAGTCCTCAATACACCGTCCGCCTTGTGTGGTGCTTTGGAAGGCGACGAGCAATTGACTGGGAAGTCTGGCGCTGGGTTGCCGAAGGTTATGGCCTCCGGACCGGTACGGTACCGTGACTCTTCAATACCGACGACACCAAGGTCAGCGCAGGATAGATCCGTACGTCCTAGAGATCCGTATCATCATCCGATACCTACAGATGTGGCTTCGGTGAACTCGCGTTCCCACAGCTCTCCAATGCAAGACCCAATGTATACTGGAATACCGAGACTAGACCCCCATCACCTTTTGGCACCATCTGTGGTTTCCCCGTACGTCATGGCAGCACACGTTCCCGACTACTACCCGCAAGTTCCACAGTTCACCACACACTGCCCTCCGCCATATATCCCAACGATGCCTAGTCACCAAGGCTTCCACGCCTATCAGCCTAATAGTTCTTCTCAATCGGCCTCGCCAGTGCATCATCGCTCATCGCACGATCCTTACCATGCCTGGAGCCAAAGCCGAGCTGACGAAGCTCATTACGTAGCGGCCTACCATGGACATGCATCATCGCATCATAATGTCACAAATACCGCCGTTCCGCAGCTATCTCGTAGTGCCGCCACGATCATGTCCAACCCTTATGGCCAAGTCATTCCACCAACTCCAACGGCTATCTTTTCGCATCATACTGGATCCCAAATAAATAATTCGCCCTATTTTCCAGGCAGTCAACCTTCATGGCCCGCAGCAGCATACCATGCTGATTGCGCAGGGCAAAACAATCTGCTGAATCAATTACCTCAACACCAGCCACACTCTTTGGAACACAGTTCCCAAATGAATACGGGCTTACCACCAGACTTAGAAATTCGTACCGTGAGCACAGCAGGCCACCCGAACTTGCCCCCACACGTATTCGTGCCTCGTACTCCGGCATCTGATCCGCCAGCGCTTGATGCTCATCAGCAACAACTGCCGAACAGGAATGGGAGAAGACAGCAGGAAAGGCTCCAGAAGAAAGCACAGCGTCAAACCACTTCTCTACCACAGCTGAGGCCCGCTCCCGTAGCGGAATCACAGGCAGACTCCTCGCAGCCCATCAATTCGGCGCCAGGCTCTAGCAATGACCATCCGCCTCTGGAAGGTCGTGGTCCTACAAGTCGGGTGTGGTCTCTCCATCAAGGGGAAAAGCGTAAAGATAGCGGGTAAGTAGATTGTATTCTGCCACCAAATCATATCAGGATGCCGAAGTCCAAAACTAAGTGAGCGCAGATCGACACCAGCAAACCAGCAAGGTAGAGAAAAGGTAGCTCGTACTGAAGAGCCCATACACGGATGTTCCATGATCTTGCAGACTCCACAGTCACGAAAGACCAAGGATGGAAGTCTGGACGAACTTCCGGAAATCAAGTGCCGACAGAGTGCCATAACGGGCTCTTCTCGTTGCAAGAAACATGGTGAGTGGACTTTTGACTTGCATGCTACACTGCGATAGCAGTATCACTCCAGAGAGACAGCAGTCACTTGATGCAGCTCTGGCTAACTTTTCGCTTCAGCATTTGGTACTGGTGTCAATGTGCCTTCCATCCAGCTAGAAGAGTGGCTTAACGACAATACCATCAGTCTGTACGAGAAGACTCGGCTCATGCGTCGTGCGAGCAAGCGACTTGGGAATAAGTTCCAGCGTAAGGGGATTTGCGGAGTATGTGGCATCGTGGAGCGCATCTACAAGAAGTTCAACGACCAACAACTCAAATCTCTCCCAAGCCTCGAGTCGCTGAGCGTGCCAGACGACTTCATGCAGTGGCACCAAGATCGATGGTCAAGGAAACCGGAGGCGCAAGACAGATGGAAGAACCTGTTCAGCGTGGACGGCATGGAAAACCTGCAATTAAAGTTCATTGAGAAATCTGGTGTAGTGGATGGACGTCTTCAGATGTGCGAACCATGCTATAAACACCTCACCAGAATGAACAAAAGGCCGCCTAGGCTGAGCCTTGCCAACGGCACGTGGACTGGTCCCATTCCAGAGGAGCTTCGTTGCTTGACAGAAGTCGAGCAGATCGTGTTGGCCCCAGAGCGGGCTTTACAAAGCATGTTCTGGCTGAAGCGTGTCAACGATCATCGAAGTAGTTGCCAGAAAGCGTCGAAGGGGCACTGGATGTCATTCGCTCAAGACAATGACAGTCTTGCGAGGCGGGTAAGAACGCTGCCTATCACCAACAAAGACTTGAGCTTGTCCATTCAGGTCAACTTGGTTGATCGGAAGGGCAAGCCAGATACACTCCAGTACCAGCTGTCTGTGGATGGGAAGAAGATGTTCCGTGCGTTCCAGTGGCTCAAGGAGAACAACCCTCTTTACGAACACATCGAATGGGACGAAGAGATTGCCGAACAATATGACGGAAGCATTCCTGAGTGTATCATGATTCCTGGGGGGTCTACTTCATCAGGTACGTCGGATGAGGAGCAGTCTGCGAGTTCGCCACTCGAGTCTACCGATGATGATACGGAGAACACGTCCATCGCGGCTGACGGAGAGTACCTTGATGACGAAGCCGCCGCTTCTATCAACGAAGTTGAGGGAGCTTACGATGATGACGGTAAGCAATTCTCGGGAGAATATCTGGCCGAGTCGGAAGAGTACTACAAGATTGACGAGGACCCACCGGACGTGACGGCCCCGGAAGCGACGAATGAAGGTGGTACAGAACATCACGCTTGTATTACCACCAAGAGCACTGTGGTCAACCGGACTTTAGCAGGCTTGCCAACGGAGGAAAGTGTTGGCGATGGATTGCAGCAGATGACTGGTGTGTAGCAATTTCTGCATCCCTTCAGGCCGTTCACTAACATATTAGTCAGGAGGGAGAGTTACGATCAGACGCCAGAACAAACTCTGCGACGAATATGATCCGAAGCACTTGTGCAGAGTGCTGATTCAGCTTTACCCATATGGCGTAGGCGGATGCAATCCTTGGCCTAAGAAATACGCATTTGACCCGCACCTTCCATACAGACTATCGTTCCAAGATCACATCCGACTACTGTTGCAGCGTGGCCCGGCTTTTCTGAAACACGTAAGGGACGACCAGATTGAAATTCGTGGCGCTGGCTTCGCGGACCATGCTTTCTTCTTGCCATTGGTTTCGAACATGTTCCTACGTATGGAAACACGAAAACTAACATGGCTACGCTGCAACTCTGCCTATGGAAGAGCCGCCGCCGAAGCTATCGCTAAGCTCGATGCGACTCAAGTTGAATTTGCATTGAATGCTGCAAACGCGGATGATGAGGCGACGAGGCATGTTAGGAAGACCTTCGACGATCTGGTGAGGGCAGTAAGAGCCGTAACAGGCAATGTCGTCGGCTCTGCTCAATCTCGTCGTAACAGTCGTGATGAAATCTGGGCAATGATACACAAATACGGGCGTCCAGCAGTAAGTATATTGATTAGATGATGGAGAGACTGAGGCTAACGACTGTTCAGTTCTGGTGTACAATCAGCCCCACAGAACTTCACAGCAGACTGGTAATCAAGCTCTGCGGTGTGAAGATTGACCTTGAACAGCGCAGCGAGGACGTAAGCGACTTCTCCGCCAAAATTCGTGCCGGATTAGCGGCGGACAATCCGGTAGCAACAGCGCAGTACTTTGACACTATGGTCAATATAGTCACAGAAGTTCTTGTTGGCAATGGCAGTGAGAAGGGGCTATTTGGCGCGGCGTGTGGTTATTACGGTACGGTTGAGACTAACCGTCATGGTGGGCTTCACTTGCACTTCTTGGTATGGCTCAAGAACCTACCAAGATGCAGAGACTTCATGGAAAAGTTGGGCTCTGAGGATGAGAATGATGGCAAATTGAGAGCATGGATACGGCAATACGTTGATGGTTGCTGTACTAACGACATTGACGATATGCCACATCGCAAAGAAGACGAGGAAGCCCGATTCAGGAGAGCAAGACGACTCGCAAAGCCACCCAAGCTGCGCGCTAGACGAGCGCGTCGCATTCCGAGAAAGAAGCGACCATCGGCTCCAGAGTCAGGTAAGACTACTGCTGACTGATAATTTTGGATGTTGACTTATGTCACTAGGTCCAGAGACTCGAGGAGAAGACAGAGCTTCGTTTGTACATGACGATGTTGCCGAGGCTGGGACTGTCACAACGACCTTAAGTGCTGATTTGAGCGACACGGCGATGAAAGAGGCGGTAGCGATTGAAGAGGCCGCAACCATGGAAGAGGCCGCAGCGATGGAAGAGGCCGCAACCATGGAAGAGGCAGCAGTGATGGAAGAGGCGGCAACCATGGAAGAGGCAGCAGTGATGGAAGAGGCGGCAGTGATGGAAGAGGCGGCAGTGATGGAAGAGGCGGCAGCTATAGAAGAGGCTTGGAATCTCAACGATGACGCGGGAGAATGGGCCGATACAAGCCCTGAAGACGCAGCCTCACCAACAGATTTCGCCGAAGACGTGCCTGACATATCGGAATTCGACGCGAAGAACGATCATGAGTCATTCCTTCCGATCCCCATGCTTCAGAACCCAGAAGGGAAAGGTGATCCCGAAGACGACTTATGGTTCATGCAAGAAGATGAAGAAATTGATAGGCATCAGACAACATTGGCCGACGAGGGACAGAACTTGTCTGAACCTTCCCATAGAAGCACTGGGCAGGAGGAGGCAGACGACACTAGACCTACTGACATATATTCCAAGATCATTCGAGATGATCAATACAAGGTAGGCAAACCCGCTCTTCCCATGGTTGTGAGGCTGCTTGCTAAGTCCAATCCAGCTCATGTATCTTTCCCAGATACATAGCTGTAGGCAAAACAGGAAATGTCGACCGGGGAAGTGTCGATACAAATACCCAATGAATCCTAACATCCCGAGGACCTTTGTCGACGATAAGGGCAACATTATCTTGCGACGGGGCCACAAATGGATTAATAGCTTCTCACCCGTCATGTTGAGCGTGCTTCGATGTAACCAGGATGTGAAGCCTACCTTTCTCGGCTCTTCCTCATACGTCAAGGTCTATTACATGACAAAATATATGACCAAGACGGAAATGGCTCTTGAGCGCTTCAACGAAATTATCTTGGCTTCTCAAAAGTTGCACGATTGGTTCCTCGCCTTAGATCCCGAGAAGAGGGAACCATTTGAGAACGGAAAGAAACTGATCAATCGAGCATGCAATAAGGTGGAGTCGCAGTCAGGTAGATCAAATACACTGTAAACACCCGATGCAAAGCTAACGTCTTAGTAGAGTACTCGTTCAGCGCTCTTGCGCAGTACATTCTCTTCAAGAAGGATCATTATACATCTGATCCATTCGTGAAGGTCAACATGGGATCTTTCCTCGGATGGATTGGAAGCTTGGAGAGAGGAGTGCCGCCTGAAGAACAAGAAGCGGATGCTGAAGATATTCTGATCAACAATGAGCAAGATGAAGAAGGTTTTGACAGGCTAGATGGCGAAGGCGATGGTATGGAAGACGGCTACGCAGACGCCGAACACACAGGCGCTGAACCCGCGGAAGCCAGTAGTAGTCCGAATCAAAACGCCACTGACAGTATCTCGAGCACCCTTCGAATCGATAAGAAGACCGGCAAAGTCATTCGCAGTAACGCGGTTCAAGATTACGTATACCGAGGAGCAGTTCTGAAAGACTTGTCTCTTTACCAATTTGTCAGTCACTTCTCTCGAGAAACGATGCGAAAGAGACCGCCGTTGAGAGGACACGAGACTGGAAAGCAAGGCTACGTTCGCGCAATGTTTAAAGTGGGCCATCCCCTGAGAGCTACCCACCTTATGTGCCAACGGGAGAAAGCTTTTACTGCAGTACCGATCTGCGCATGGTTTCCGAACGCGAAGACAGACAGTAAGGAGAGGAAAGAGAAGCTTGCTAAGATGCTACTCATATATCTGAAGCCGTGGTACGGTCTGGAGGATCTCAAGAGCCCTGACCAATCCTGGTGGGAAGCACTGGAAGCATTCAAGGCCATCGACTCGAATGAAAGCAGAGAAGCTCAACTGATCATGGATAACATCCAAGAGATCAACGATATGGAAGAGATGTCAAAAGAAGAGCGTAAGCAGGAGCTGGAGAATGATGGTCCAAGTCCACGTATCAGCTATGCTTTGGAGCGAGACCGAGAACAAGGGGGTTGGGCGGTGGACACTGAGAACTTTGCGCAAGTCGAAGCGGAATATGAAGCGACCTTTAACCTCTACGAACGTAGCGGAGACTTCAAAGAAGCTATGAGGCTGCTCAAAGATCAAAAGGCCTTCGAAAAGCCGACAGGGTGGACGGCCAAAGCAGCCGGACTGGACGATGGCTTCACTGATGTGACGAATGAGAGCTTCAGCGATCGGCTTTTCAAAATCGCAGACAAGTCTCGCCAACGCTTGAATACGAAGAACGAATTCGTCAAGCAAACGCGCCAGGCACGCGGTAATTCTGGGACGGGGCAACCACCTGGTGATCTCGGAGATGGCCGACCGAAGTATCCGATACACGACGACGCAGCAGAATGTGAGCAGGATTTTGAAGAGCGAGGACTGCGAGAATTCTCGAGGATACGTAAAGCGAAGACTCTGAACCGGAAACAGATCTGCGCATTCTACACTTGTGTTAAGGCATGCTTGAAAAGGATGAAACTAGGACCGACATACGAAGCACAGCTTGTGTTAGTCACAGGCGTTGGCGGTACCGGCAAGAGCAAAGTCATCGAGGCTATTACGGAATGGCATAAAGCCATGAACAAAGGGCATGAGCTGGTGGGTTACCTTTGACTTAGCCATCTGGATCACATATTAACATTGCCGCTCCTCAGGCCACTGTAGCTCCTACTGGGACTGCCGCGGCCCAGGTAAACGGAAGTACAATTCACAGCAGCTTCTCGCTTGTGTGCCGCAGCGAGGGCTCTGCCGAAGTGTCGCCGACTAAGGCACAACGTCTGAAATCTAAAGCAGATGAGAAGTTCAAGTAAGTTCGACCTGGCTGGGAATATGAATCGGTTAGTAATGAGGCACCAGAGATGTCAACATTGTCATAGTCGATGAGTGCTCGATGCTTGGACAGCGTACTTTGGTTGAGATGTCTCAGGTACTTTGTGGGGCGAAGGGCACCGAAAACCCCTTCGGCGGCGTCGACATGTTCTTCTTCGGGGACTTCTACCAGCTACCTTGCGTGCGAGACGCGTGTCTCTACAAATTGTTGACAGACGAAGCTGTCAAGAATCGGCACTATCAGCATGAATGCCGTGTGACCTCGCCGTGTCTGTGGAATCAGTTGACTCGTGTCATCCATCTCGACGAGGTCATGCGCCAACAACAGGTGGACGAAGGCGATATCAAATTCGTTGCCGCTCTATCAAGGATACGTACCCACGCTGCAGAGAAACAGGATTGGGAGCTGCTCAAGTCGAGAGTAGTGGGCTCTTCTTCGCACGGTGGCACAGCAAGTGAGAGATCATCTGAACGTCTGGCAGATCTGAGCGACTTCTGCGACCCGGACACGGTCATGATCTGTCGGAGCCACGATGTTCGTCGCGAGTTCAACTATCTACGAGCAAAGTCGACTTCTGCAGCCTGCGACCAAACACTCTTTAGTTGGTCATGTCGATATAAACCGATAAGAACGAAGACAACACCGCAAGTCGATTGGGAAATTCTCAGTGTGATCAGAGGCCTCAACCCTAGTAATCACTCAAATACGGAGTCCAAACTATACTTCCACGTCGGCATGCCCGTTCAGATCACCAAGAATCTCCACGTGGAATTGAAGATTACTAATGGGACTTTGGGATGGGTACGCGGCTTTGGGCTCAGCGAAATCGACCGAGAACGGCTAAGGCGTGACTCAGCTGGAGGGCGTCCAGAGGAGTTCGTCCTGACAGAGCCTCCGCGGTACGTCATCGTTGAACTGAAGAGACCGAGTGAGGACTTGCCTGAAGTTGACCCGGCACTGCCCAAGAATTGCATCGCACTCTTTCCCCGCAAAGAAACGGTAAGGATCGAGAAAGTGGGGAGCTGGAACTTCGAGCAAATGCCATTTACACCGGCTTACGCGATTACGGACTACAAGAGCCAAGGCCAGACGTTCAAGAAGATCATCGTGGATCTTTCATCTATACCGTACAAGCCACTGTCGAATGGCAGCGCGTATGTCATGCTCTCGCGTGTGACGTCACTCAAGGGCCTTGCCATTCTCAGGCTGCCTTCTGGGCTCGAAGAGCTCAACAGGCCGCCCGACCCAAGCTTGAAACGAGAGATCAAACGTCAGTGCCTGTGGGACCCGCAAGACACGACCAAAGCCATAAAGGTGAGCAAAGCATGCCCACAATAGCCGTTCTTGTGTTGATAGCAACAGGGTATACGCAAAGCAACGGAAGTCATGCGGCAGATGCATAACGATGGTCGACTTGGAAGAAGTGAGCGAAACCAGTGGATTGACATGCTGACGGAGTTGCATACTTCTACTGCACGGACGGCAAGTCGACCCGTTGATAAAACCCTCATGAGGCACCTGAATGCAAACGAAACTGCTATTGGTGTTGCTAGAGTGACGAAGGAGTTGAAGACTCAACTGGATCATCTTCAAACCTCTCTCCAGAGAATGGCTCCATCCATGTAATGTAGACTTGGTTACAATAGACCAGTATTTTGGTTTGAACGAACGGAAGCGTGGTGATAGCCCACCATTGCGAGATCGGGCAACTTCGTGCACTTTCTATCGAAAGGCTTGCAGTCGCTTTTCGCGGTGACAAGGCAGCAGCTTACAAAGCCGCTTCCAGCGCCATCGTTAGGTTATTTCTCTGGCGTGGCGAGGACGTAGTTGTGGTTTTGCGCAAAGCTCTTCGGTACCACCACCACCACGGCACCTCCGACAACCCACTCTTTCTCATCCCCCACAAAACGCGCGACAACCCAAATTGTCGGCTTTAACTCATCGCATAAGAGTCGCGAAGCCGTCTGCGCGTAATCCGAGAACATGAGACCTGCGCCCCCGGTGTTGCGCCGGTGCGGTATAGCGCCTAGCTCTTGGAGACAAGACAGAGAGGCAGCTTTGCGCAGTTGAAAGTCTCAGGCCCTCGTCGCATGTCTGACCATATGACTTCGCGACCTCTTATCGAAAGCACGAGAGGCCTTCCGAAATAGTGCGCGCGCGCTTGATCAACCAGCGTCGCCGACCATGAAAGCCACCTCACCACTCGCAATGCCACGTCGCTTCTCCGTCGCCTAGCCGCCGCGGTCACTGTCGCCCTCACCAACCCACCGCCTCGCTCAAGCTCATGATGTCCTGTGCGAGGTGTCTCTCGTGTCTCTCATGCCGCGCCTTCGTCATCGACCCATTGCTTGCGGCGTCGTCACATGCGACTCAAGCGTTGCCGCCGCCACTTGCCTCACTGCCTTTGAGATGCTCCCTCGAAGCTACCACCATGCCACTTCTTGCTTGCTGTTAGGGTCCCGCCTCTTCACCTCAAAGACACCTATTCCACTGATTCTCTCTTTGACGCGCCGACGGTTCCGTTGTCGCTGACAAGACACGTCTTCTCTCAGCTCCAATAGCTCGTTGCCTCGACGCCCAGGTAATCATCGCTCATCGGCAGCAGTGCGTCGGTCGTTGCTTCTCGCCTGCTCATCTACCGCGTCGCCCAACTTGCAGAGTTTTCGTCATAGTCGTCGGCGTCGTCGCGCGTACTTCGACCTTCTGTCACCACCACCACCACCACCACTACCTCCTCCTCCTCCACAACTGTTGTCGCCGCTTCGCCATTACTCCGCCGGCTTTCGTGTCTGAGCTCTTCGCGCTGTCTGGCATAGCTTCGCATCGTCTCGTGCCTTACAACTAGCGCATGCCAGTGTCGCGATCGCCTACGCGGCGCCTTCTTCCGCAGCGATAGCTCAACGCTCAGCCAGCTTTCCGTCTTCCCGCCGTCTACACAGCAACGTCTTGTCAGCCACAACACGTACAGGCTGCTGCGTAAGCCTCACCAACACCGAAGCTTTTGGATGGGATAAGAATCTTTGTACTTGGAGCTCTGTTCTCTCGCCTCCATACCAACGGCCTTGCCGCGCCGCGTCGAGATCAGTTCTTCTCTACCACTGCTCTGTCTAGCATGAGACCAACATGAAGACCAGTATACTCCACGACACACCAGCTCTGTCCCAGCAGAGCAGTCGATTTGTGCAGCGACTCTACGCTCACGCCCACACTTCCACGTACTTCCATGAGCGACAGAGGCTGCGATTGAGCTCACTGGCTCTCGCTTCGACAACTCGATTGTCGCACAGTCATCGCAGGCTGTGAGTCACCTTTTCGCCGCGCAGCAGCACAAAACAGCGACTTAGTCTGCAATGCACAGTAAGCACGCTGTTCGCGCATGTACTCGCAGCCCCTGCGGTTTGTTATGACTGCTTACATCGCCATTTGACGAGCGACACATTGAGCCATGTATTGCTGGTGCAACGGCAAGGGCGTCATGCGCGAGCAATCGAAATTCGAGCGCCTGCGAGATCGTCGCAGAGACGAACTGTCGCAATGGCGCAGCGTTAGGTTGAAGTGTGTGCCTGTGATAACACCGTCAGATCAGGTACAGAACATCGGAGTGCGATGCTTCGTTCATCGCTTGCAACTAACGTTGTTGTAGACCACGTTCATGCCGCGCCTGACACGTCGTCACGTACATCCGCGGGCTTCCGCATCAGTCGGGGTTCCCTTGTCTGAATCGCTCAGACCTGCCACCGAAGTTGAACCGCAACGTTGTGCTGCACGTCGCTCGACCAAATCCTTGCAGTCGCCGCCATCCACCTCGCCCATCGTCCAGACAGTCTATCTTTCGCCGCCATGGCCAAAGCGCTTCGATCCAAAGCCTCCGGCGAAAACTGCTGGCAAAAGGATTTGCAGAGCCCTCGGCTCAAAATGATTGCATTGATCTCCTGGTAACTACATAGCCCAGTCCCTTGTTCTGTCTGAAGAGGTTCATGTTGCCTCTAGTTGTGGTTGTGGAGGTACTCATGTTGGATTTTGAGGTCCTCTGAGGTGACCTGTTGCCACAGCTTCATAACCTCTTTTGCCTTGGGGATCATGTTGTGTGGGTGATCCACCCAGTTATACGGCATTTTTTCGACATGTTCGAGGTGTTTAATGGCGTCGTAGAGCTTGATTTCGGCCTCTACGCAGGTGAAGTTGCGGGTAGAGTTCTTAGAGGTGCAGGGAGGGGCGACGCCGTCGAGCTTGTAACCCTGGCAGGGGAGGCATGTTACACCCTGTTTAACGTTAGAAAGGACAAGGATATGTTGTTAGAAGGCTTACCCATGTTGGGTGCTTGGTGGAGGGTGAATCTGAGTCGTTGGAGGACATGGTAGCGGTGGCTTGGCTTGCAGTAGTGTCTGTTGGTGTGGTTTGAGATGGAAGGTGGCAGGGGGGATCGGCTCTTTTTGAGTATAGGTTGTGGCCAGGTGGCTGGAGACGAGGTTTACCGAGATGTGTCCTCAACCAATAGGCACCATCTCACGTGACTTCGAAAGACTGTGGCATCGGCAAGCCTCGGGCGACTTGTGATGAGATGTGTATGCACGGACCATACTGCCTCAGTTGATGTTGGTCGAAGTATATGTTGATGAAGTGATCAAGGTTGATGAAGTGATCAAGGTTGATGAAGTGATCAAGGTTGATGAAGTGATCAAGGTTGATGAAGTGATCAAGGTTGATGAAGTGATCAAGGTTGATGAAGTGATCAAGGTTGATGAAGTGATCAAGGTTGATGAAGTGATCAAGGTTGATGAAGTGATCAAGGTTGATGAAGTGATCAAGGTTGATGAAGGTTGAAAGGTTCGTGAAGGTCGAAAGGTTCGTGAAGGTCGAAAGGTTCGTGAAGGTCGAAAGGTTCGTGCAGGTCGAAAGGTTCGTGCAGGTCGAAGGGTTCGTGAAGGTCGAAGGGTTCGTGCAGGTCGAAGGGTTCGTGCAGGTCGAAGTACTTGTTGGTGATGGTTCAGCTACCCGTCGATGGAGTATGTCGAGGTGTGTGTTGATGAAAGTATATTGATGGACACCTAAGTATAGTTAGACAAGGGTCGAGATGTGGTACAAGTCGGGTTGACAAACGTGAGTACTGATGTTGCGCGAGCGAAGAAGTGTCGCAGTGTTGTTGAGCCGACGTCGATAGGTTGGGAAGGTGGGTGTTCAAGTACGCGAAGCCATGACCGACTTGATGTGGACCGGAGTCGGTAAGAGTTCGAGAAGGCACCTACTCAAGGCGACAAGTGCGGGGTGTTGCAAGATGGTGGGGCAGTGGGATTATCGGGCAAGCCGTGTCGTTGGTGTCGGGTGGAGGGACTGCGCATGGCAGGTGGCACGGGTACAAGCCGGTATATAGAATGTTGTGCGCTGGACAAAGATTTGGGTTTAATTGTTGCGCGGTGGGTGGGGTGGAGAGTAGAGGAGACGGTTGCAAGAGCTGGGCGAAGCGTTGTATATAGACGACGACGCTAGCGTGGACCCTGACGCTTTGTCAGCGGGTGAGTGGTGAAAGGTGAGACATGAAAGTCGCCGGCGTTATGGTGTAGAGTATACGCTGGCTCCTCTATTGTCGTGAGGCTTGCGAGAACTGTCGCCCTTGGTGACTGAAGCTGTCAACAGCATTGTGCCCTGTAGCGGAAGTGGTGGTTGCGAGCATCCATTGCGTATATATAACAGACGTCCGTGAGTGCGAGTTCGTGGACGGTCAAAGTGCGTGTTGGGTGAGCGGAGTGTGGGGTGTGGTAGAGACAATGTGGAGGGAAGCCGGCGGACGAGGGTTCTCTGTGAACGGCGGCAAGGCGCACTAGGCAGCCCTTATGACGTTCGACATATTCGCGTGCTAATGTGGGCGCGCAAGATTGGGTAGCTGCGAGTGCCGGTGGACGTCGGTACAGTACTGGCTTGCGCAGGCATTTCGTAAGAGTGGCCCTGATATCCGCCTCCGGACGCTGCGAGGGACGGCTGAAGTAGAGCGAGGACGCGATGTATTCAGTAGGAAATTTTGCACTGTAAGAGTTAGTGTGCGACCAGGAGTTCTGTATGGGAGATGGTACCAGTCGTCGTCGTTGGCAGACGCGTATGTGGACAGCGACAGAGTAGCTGCGCGTCAGTGCGAAGGCAACCATGGTGCAGAAAGCTCGCGGGCGTCAGTAGCCGATCTCAGGCTGGATCACTATGCCAAACACATTGTGCGCATGTAGAGAGCGACCGCCGGCGTGAGCGCAACGACGACAATGACGGCAGCTGTGGGTGGGCTTGCAACGAGATGGAGGATGGTGACGTCGCAGGTTGTGGTGCTGCAGATCTCGCAAAGCCGCTTACTGCATTTGTCATGAGTGCGTGCGGTGAGTCTACGCTAGCCGGATTCTGGCAAGCTCAGAGGCAACCGTGGTGCAAGTAAGTCAGCAACCGTACAACGCACAAAGGACAGATGTACCGATCTTTCATGAATAAATTTGCGTAAGGAACGCTACCTCGACACTGTCCTGTCTCGACACTCCTCCAGCAGAAAAATTATCCACGACCATATCGTTCCCAGCGATTCAGGCGAAACAAACATGGAATCTCGAATGCCGTTTCTCTTTGCGCTCTACGAACCTGATCGTGATCCTATGAGCCTTGCGCCCAGGGCTCTAGAGGGTCGCAATCTCTTGAACAACTTACGCGATATAACGAACGTCCGCCCGAAAGCAGAGCCGCCTTACTCCACAGCAGAAGCTCTGGCAATTCAAGACTGGAGACAGCGGGTCGAACAGCAGGTGGCGGCACGTGTATCTGGCTACCGCTACAAAGCATCGGGAGACAAAAGCATTCTTCACTTTGCGGAAGCAAACGATAGGCATCATGCCCTTACAGAACATGGGATGCTACGAATACCTGAGTTGCGAAGTATCATACTCCAGTATGCAGGACCTGTGGCACAGATACGAGCATTGCGTGTATCAAGGAGCTGGCGCTCTTCAGCATTTGATATCATTCGCAGCCGCAACACCGCTGCTACATACAAGAAATCGTTACAGTCGTTTCGCAACCCTGTGGAGCACGGAAAGCTCGTCGATGAAGACGTCATGGCGCCTTTACAGCCCAGCTCCGAGGAGGCTAGAGAACTGGCATTGAGCGTTGAACGTACCTGTGGTAAAACGCACTCAGGCAAACGTCTATACTTTCCAGCGAAGTGCGCACAAAGGCGAGACCTCCCCAGTCCCTTGGCTGAGACTCTTAATCACCTAGATTGGAGCCAGCGTGGCGATGCCTTCTCCAGGACGGTCAGTGTATCTCGTGAGACGGACATATACTGGTTGGATCTGAGCCAGCTGGAGATAAACCCGTACCTTGACGCACTGTTCGCAGAAGAACATCAGAGCATTCAGCGTCTTGGTAGATGGGAAATCTGCCTAAGGCCAGAGGCAACGCCACAAACACTTCTGCTCAACTCCTTTCTCTCGAATTCAGTTTTGCTAGACACTCTTGGGTCCATGCATGTCACGACGCCACCATGCCGAGCTTTGGGTATTTACCATAACAACTATTGGACAACTACTCCGAACGGGCACAATACACTCCTGACCAGGATTAGAAACGACCAGGGGGTACGCATTGCCGAACTCTTGGACGCACTCCAGCGCTTTGCGCCTGTTCTTCTAGAAACTTGGTTCAAGAATACTGAATGGCTTGTTGGCGAGATACGACAAGCGCACTGGATCGACGACATCTGGACAATACCGGGTGCGCCCACCTTCCGAATCTATCTAGACAACGTGGACATGTCAGATGATGCACATCTTATCGACTTGAATCCCTCAGGGGAGGAGATTGATGCATTTATGACGGCGAATCCATTGGTACTCGGCTTATCAAGCCACATCACACGCGCCGCCCAGATGAATGCAGAGCCCTTTCGGAGATCAAGAGAGAAGGCCTGGATCTCTGAAGATCTTATTGAGCCTGCCCAAAGTACTACCGGTCGGCATCCCATCAGCTGGGATACATAAGGTAGTGGTTCGATCGCTCGAGGTCGCAGGGATTACTGAGGCTGCGACTGTATGTTTTTCGGAGTCTGTGCTGGTTTCACACATCGCCTTGCCAATGGTTGCCATGTGCGGCACAAAGTATAGTTATTTCCTCAAGATCTGGTAGAATAATCTTTAATTTGCAAGGTTTTGCTCCAACACACGTTTTGGTCTCTGACATTGTTGCACAAAACAACTGCGCTCATGCCATCTACAAGCTTCGCATCTTTCTGGTTGATGACTCACATCCTATCCGGCACACCAATTCGACGCTGGAAATACCAGTGATTCCATGCAGTCGATGCGAACCTGCACTCCCTCCCATCGTCTGGCGCCTCTCTCAAAGTCTTCGCGAAATAAGTCCTTGGGTGGAACTCGCTGCAACGGTCGCACCACAGCATCCCAGGCAGATCCCAGCTTTTTTTCTCAAGCATCAGTCGAGAGGCGAAGACATCACGCCTCATGCGTCGCCAGTATACCAGTAGAGCGGGTTGATCGAAATAACGTCGGCGTTGCAAAATTGCGGTATGCCTGCAAGTACGAACGAGCGTTAGGAGGTCGGCGGGAGGGAGGTACATGGCGATTTGCTCGAGAAGCTCGTTAGGTAGACGGTATACTGCAGACTCTCGATGATTGCGGTTCGCGATGCGAAGGTATTTCCTTTGTGTCCTGAGATTGTGCCACCACTTTATAGTCGCTTGCAGATACGAGTTATTTTCCTCCAAACAGAAGTATCTTTCATCGCGAGATACGATAAGATTGCCGTGGGTCCGCGTTATGGGTGTGACCCTGCCTGACGAGGTGATGGCCGCCCCTGTCGTGATGATGCTCATTGCCGCGAATGCAGCCATCTGCATTGTGTCGAGGCAGATAGTTTTGGGAGGTTGATGTTATTTTCAAGAAGTGTTTTTAAGGAACTTGTGGTATGTCTGCCTTCTCATATAGTACCGTCAGATTATATCAGTAGCCTACTTACCGTCACGAGAGGTCTCGTTCGAGAATCCACATCTGTTTCCATGGTTATGAGGTAGGTTGTGAGATGCCCAGTGGCGGCTCGTTGCTCGCTACCTAGGTACGCATCATCGACGAACCGCTCCACAATTCTAAGTAGTGCGCGAGAATGTGCGAGCTGAGCACATTTGAGCTGCTATGATCGAGGCCAATGCGAGAGCCTGGATGTGTTGTCGACGAAACGTGATCGTGCCGTGGAAGATCCATGCCCGTGTAAGTCACAACGAAAGCAGGAGTTCGGGGTACCGGCGCTACTGTCGCCGCGCCCGAGCTCACGGTGTTCAACCCGCAGGCTCTTACGCGCTGTGCGTCCGTCACCAACACGCCGCTCGCGCGCTCGCGTTACGTGCGGCTTGAGCATCATCGCCGCATTTACTTCTCTCAAGGCCAGCGCCGTAAGAGTTTAGATTTACCGGCGAGGAGCCAAGTCCTCCTATCATCGACGCGCATCCTACGAAGCATTCGACGTGTCAATCGCGCCCAGATGCCATTGTCGTCGGAAAACCACGTCGCTTCTCGTCCACAGCAGCGCCTTGCCCCAGCGCCTACATACTGATCGCTCGATCCCGCAGTTGGTTCAGTGCATTAATCATTCCGCTGTCCGCTCGGCTATCCACTGCGTCGCAAAGATGGCAGGCACCTGGGTTACGTTTGCGCTAAGCCGAATCCTTACCAGCGCCCAGGCTTCAGTTCCCGACGTCTGTCCGGGTGCGCAACAACGAACCGTGGGACATTGAAAGGACAGCTGTACAAAGCAACACTTAAAGGCTCGGTCGCGCTTGCTTCTCCCATTCTCCTCATTACCTTTAGCTGACACCTGCGACAAACTGGATCCTGCTTATCATGGGATCCGCCATCTCTTGGGCATCGTCTTCTGTCGTGAAAGACACGACTCTGAATGCTAGAGAAGAATTCTTGTCTTCAATCTATCAATCGTGCAATGATGCGATACCACCTGGAATTCGAAGACACTGGTACAAAGCGCTGGATCTCAACAACGAACCTACAATGGTGTCGCCACTCTACTCCCCCTCAGAGCAACGAGCTGTTGAACAATGGAGACTGGAGGTTGGTCACCGAGTAAGGGCACGCATAGCCCTTTATCAGGCTCACAAATCAGATACGATACCTGAAACGCATAACCAACGACCATGCCAACAACCATGCCAACGTACAGAGCATCACTTGTTTCAGGTCTCCGAATTACTGGATATAATACTTCAGTTCGCCGGACCCGAGACCCAAACTCGAGCGTTAAAGATTTCGACTGCTTGGCGCACCTCTGCCACATCTGTCATACGCAGCCGTACAAACATTGACGCGTTTTGCACCGGTTTATCACCCTGGGTGCCAACAGAGTATGGACAGATCATTGATTGGGAAAGCGAGACCCCGCTTCAACTCAGCACCGACGAAGTCGCGCAATTTTGCCTTCACGTAGCACGCATACGCGACAAACCTCGTCATCCGCAAGTCTACAGGTTTTTGTATTTTCCCGCACGCTTCGCACAGTCGCCAGATCTACCGGACGCGATTACGGACTATTTGAACGACTTGGATGTTGCGCAACGCGGCGATGCCTATACGGACGTACATTCGGTCTCCCGCGACTCAGATCTTTACTGGCTCGATCTCAGCCAGTTCCGAACCAACCCATACTTCGAGTCCTTGTTCTCCGAAGAAGATCGGTTCAAACATCACCTAGGCCGGTGGGAAATTAGTCTACGTGCGGAGGCTACAGACAAATTCCTGTTGATCGATGATACGACTTCGAATCGACTTCTTCTTCAGGCCGTCGGATCAATGCAGATTGTTCACCCACCTTGCAAGAGTCTTGGCATCTATCATTTCGACCACGGTAAACGTAAGATAATCGGAACACACCTGCTGCTGAGAAGACTTCGCAGGGAAGATGGCATCCGCGTGATCGATCTCATAAGAGCACTGCATGAATTGGCCCCTGCCTTGTTATCGACGTGGATGCGCCATGCGGAGCGACTCCGTGACCAAGTAAAAAGTGCGCACTGGATAGACGACCTCTGGAAAATCCCCGGAACACCAAGATTCCGAATCTGTCTAGACAATACCGGTATGTCAAATGACTATTGTCCAGACAACCTTCCAAGAGGGACGCTTTTGGGTTTCTCGCGAGAGGCGGCAGCCGTAGATGCGCAGTTGGGTATGGCCGCTCACATCACTCGTCAACCGTACATGTTCGCCGAGAAATTCAGGGGAACTAGGGAAGGTGAATGGCTTCCGAACGAACTCTTTGAGCCTATGAAGAGTGAGACGGACCGGCACCCTATCGAATGGAACAAGTGATATCCATCGTGGCTTCCGGCGTGTACATGAAGACGCAGGCTATTGAGCCACTGACGATCTACGCAACACTTATCTTGCTCATACGCAGAAGTACTCTCCGACGAGAGATACTCTAATTCTCAGAGACTTGGCTGCACATGGTAGAGCAGGCGGCGTCGTTTTCGCCATCATGTAGCCTCGCCACCCGTTGAACATCGCTTTGGGAGCGTCGCGTCTCGAATATGTAGTTTTAATAACAATCAAATGTGCTTTCAAAATGAGAACGCATATGTATGGGTCAGCATCACGCAATCTCACTAAAAGTGACGTAAGGTGTATTCCGTCGAGGATTGAGGATGTATTGCTACTCATTACCCAATTCTTCTACTCAACCTTCACCCTTACACGCGCAACATCACGCGTCTCTCAGCATTATGATTACCCATCCATCATTCGCATACCAACAACCAACCAATCCCACCTCACAAGTTCCTCGCCACCGCAACTCAAACAACTCAAACCAACGCACTTCCCAACCGCAACCCCCGTCAAAACCACACCTCAGTCGACCAACTCGGCACCGCAGCCTTCGTCACACGCTTCTGCACCGGTCTCACAGCAACGCGCGGCATCAACACCCGCCGATCAATCGTACCATCAGTCATTGTGCCTCCTTCCACATCAGCCGACGCGGAACTAGGTAAGAGCATCGATTTAATCCGCGAAAATAGCGACGGCTGTGGCGATTCTGGGCCGTGCTCTCCTTCTATCTTTGGCGACAGGTCAGGTGGTGCCGGGCCATTACTCGGAGGAGTGCGCAGGGGTGAGCGAGAGGAAGGGATGGCCGTTGACCCAGGAGTCAGGGCCGGAGACGGTGTTGGCTCAGGTACAGGTGGTGTCGCATGTGGTGGTGGGGGCGTGGGCGGACTGATTGGCGGTGTTGGGGTGGAGGATTCTAAGGGCGGCGGGTTGGTTGGCGGCACGGACACCGAGGACGAGAGTTGGGGACGCGCCGCAATGCTTGTATTGGGAGGGAGAAGCGAGGCTTCTGTAGGTGTGGTAGTTGGGACGCGCGGTGATAGGCTTGCATCTTGCGACGGGGAGAGTGATCGCTGCACGGGCGCGGTAGAAGTTTCCTCTTCTGCGGTTGGCATTGGTGCTGGCTTGGTTAACATAGCCGCTGCTCTGTCTCTGAGATCGTCGCTTGGTCTAGGGCTTGCTTCTGGTATCGACTCCATGTACGTTATTTGCCGACCGAGAATGGTTGACGTCGGCGTCGGTGTTGGATCATCATCAATCACTTGCTCGACAACAATTGGACCATTCTCAGCATCATCAGGAAAAGGTCCATCGTAGACTTTACGTCGTCTGAAGCAACGGCAGCAGCAAAGCATGGAAAGTAAACCTCTGTATATATTCATTCAGTAAAAGGTAGGTCTGAGAAGAGAAAGCGCGGCCGTAACTATAAGGTGATGTTTGTGAAGAGAAATTGCGCGAATGAGTGTGCAAGGCGGTCTATATGACAGATATGGGAAGAGTGCTATGCACTCACAGAAACAGAGCTACCGCTGCAGCGAGACCACCAATGAGCCCATTCCTGATGCTACTGTCCTTGTCGCGAGAATCCCCCGGTTCAGACAATGGAACGCCTGGGATTTCACGGCGCGAAC